TGTGAAGGATATTATGTATTTGTTTATGAAAAATATTGGTCTGTAGTTTTCTTTTTTTGTAATGTCTGTTAGGGAATTGTTAGCCTCATAGAATAAGTTGGAATGTGTTTCCTTTCTTCTATTTTTGTGGAAGAGTTTGTGTAGAGTTAATATAATTTCTTTCTTAGACATTTGGTAGAAATCACAAGTAAAGCTATGTGGACCTGGTGATTTGTTTGTAGGAAAGTTTTAAACATCTCATAGGCGATCTGTGTTTGTTGACTAGAGACAGAGACAGAGAGAGAAAGTGAGAAATCACCCATTAGAGGGGATGTCTATGCCACAGTCCCTTCTCCTTAATTCTCCTCTCAAGATTTTGGACACACACACACACACACACACACACACACACACACACACATCTCTCATATATTTCAAACTGAGACTTGAACTGCTCAGTTAACCATGTGGGATCCAGACACCTTAAACACCATGTTAGCTCCTGGCCTTATGATTTTTTTAAAAAACTTAAATTGAAATAATTAGTTGTATATATGTATGGGGTACAAAGTGACATTATGATTTGTGAATATAATGTATAATAATCAAAGTAAGTTAATTAACATATCCATCACCTCAAATACTTATTATTTTTTACAGTGAGATTACTTATGTTTTCAAAAATAAATTTGCCATAGGGCATATGTACTTGAGAGAGAGAGAGAGAGAGAAAGAAGGTACTACCCTTGGGCTATGGTCATACAGCAATTCTCTTCCAATTCTCTCTCCTTTCAGGATTTTTGGGCCCACATGCACACATGCTTAACATGTTTTCACACTCCTGGGTCCAGGACTTGAACTGCACTGTCAGCCCTGTGAGATTCAGCTGCCTTAATCACCATGCTACTGGTTGGCCCTGAAACAAACTTCTTTATCCTATGTGATTTTTTTAAACTATGGGGAAATTCTTCTGATATTAATGAAATCACTCTAGCATTATTCTGAATAATGTGTGCATGAGATATTATTTGTAAAAATCTTTCTCTTTTTACCTCTACTTTTAAAGTTTCTTTTTTTTTTTTTCATTTTTGCTGTAGGGTATGCGTACCCTCCAGAGAGACAGAGAGAAACAGAGACAGAAAGTGAGAAATCACCCCCTAAAGAGGATGGCCATGCTCCAATCCCTTCTCTTCCATCCACCTCCTAGGATTTGAGGCATGCACACACACATGCCCAGCCAAAGTTTCAAGCTGCTGAGTCCAGGACTTGAGCCATGATCGATCATGTGGGAGTTCAGCACTTTAAGATTATGCCAACTGCTGTCCCATATATAAAGACTCTTGTAGACAGCATAGTTACATCTTGATTTTAAAAATTCTATCTGACTTTCTTTATTTTTGTGTCGGAGTGTTTAGACCACTTTATTTAATGTGATTATTGATATGGTTGAGTTTATATTCACCATACTGCTGTCTATTTTCTGTTTATCCCTGATGTTCTTTGTTTCATTTAGTTATTTTCCTTTGTTTTGGATTAATTAAGTGTTCTTTCTTAGTGTTTTATGTTATTTTTATTTCCATTTATTTTATTTTATCTTATTTTCATATCTGGCTTATTAAGTTTACTTGTTTTAAGATTTACAACATACGGAGCCAGTGCATGGCATGGTAGTTAAAGCGCTGGACTCCCACATGGCTAACCACAGTCGAAGTCCTATCCATGTAGCTTGAAAATCACACCAGGCGTATGTGCGTGCATGCCCAAAATCCCAGGAGGAGAAGGGATTGTGGCATATCTATCCCCTCTGGCGGTATGATTTCTCACTTGCTCTCTCATTATCGCTCTCTAGTGAGTGCACTTGCCCTAGGGCAAAAACCTAAAAAACCAAATAAACAAAAAGATTTACAACATACGTTTTAAAGTTATTACAATATACCTTCAATACTACATCATTTCAAGTGTAGTGTGAGACTCTTAGAAAATTCCATTTTCTATTCTATTTCTCTGCTTTTGTCATACAATATACCTCTGCATATGTTATAAACTATGTATTGTAATTATCAAATTTCTAATATACATTATTTTTACAATAAGTTATAATATATCTAGTAAATATGTATATATTAAGCACTTGCTATAGAGAGAAAGAGAGAAAGTGAGAAAGCAATCCGCCAGGTCCAAGACTTGAATCGTGGCTGGCCATGTGGGAATCCAGCACCTTAACCACCATGCCTCCTGTCGGCCCCTCTCCCTCTCTTTTTATTCTGAGAAAGAGAGGCAGAAGAAGACGGAGAGGCAGAGAGAAAGAAAAAGAGGGAGGGAGGCACCCTCTCTTCCTGGGCGACCCACCCCAGCCTGGGCAGCCCAGATAACGGACATGTGAGCCCCCTGCTGGCCTGTATAGGGAGATCTTCAGACTCAAGCCTGGGACCTTCTCACGTGGGTTCAGCATTGGAGAGTGCTGTGTTACCTCTGTTTCACCAGCACCTCTCTTATTTCTAGAATTTGTTTTTTCATTTAAATTTTAAGGACATGTGCGCTTGCAGGAGAGACAGAGACAGAGAGACAGAAAGTGAGAAATCACCCCCTGGAAGGTGGCCATGCTGCAATCCTTTCTCCATTCTCCTCTTGGGATCTTGGGCATGCATACACACGTGCCTGGCATGAGTTTAAGGTGCCAGGTCTGGGATTCGAACCGTGCTTGACTACATGGGAGTCTAGGGATGTAACCATAAGAGAGGTCATCTTACAGGAGACGGCCGTTTCACAATCCCTTCTCCTCCATTCTCCTCTTGGAGCTTTGGGCATGCACACACATGTGTCCAGCATGCTTTTCAAGCTGCCAGGCCCAGGTCCAGCACTCAGACCATGCAGTCAGCCTATGTGAGATCTATAGTTACCATGCCACCGGCTGGTTCGTTAACTGTATTATATATGTTTATAGAGTATACATTATTATTATGCATTTATACCATATATTTTTATTTATAACCATTATGATTTTTACTACTATGTATTAAAAACTATATATTATTTTATTTTAAATAGTCTCTTCAAGATATTGAAAAATGAGAAGAAAATCTTTATGTTTATTCATTTATTTACCATTACTGGTTTTTCTCATTCCTTTGTTTCAATCAAGATTTTTATAGCAATAGTTATGGACACTGGAGGCAGTGTGGAAAGAGGGTGGGAGAAGGGATGAATATAGGGAAGGAAATCAAAGGAAATCAAAACCTAAATTCATAGTTTTTTTTCTTTTCCTCTCTGTACATTTTAAAGGTGTTGCTCAACAGTTCTGTAAGTGGTAAGTCTAACTGACTGAAGGTAGTGTGGAAGCCCCATACTGATAACTGACGGTAGCTTATAGATAGGAATGGACTGCACTATTTCTCAGAAGTCTCTAGTAGGGATGTACTCCCATTGCCCGTTTCAGTAACTTGCTCATTGAACTATCCTATGTTTGTTTCTTTCCTTTCCCTATCTTACTTCTTCACTCTCTCCAGAACTCCCAAGGATCACTTCCCACATAAACTACTTGTGTCTAAGTCCTCTTTAGGCGTCTGCTTCTTGGGGAAACCAGCACAAGACAGTAACTATGGCAAAAATTGCACTGGTACATACATACCTGGAATTTGTGAACCAATGCAGTAGTAAAAGCTGACTTGTGGGTCAACCAGGTGGCATGGTGGTGCTGCATCTCACATGGTTGACTTAGACCTGGAGGCAAGAAAAGTACACTCTGTGTGTGTGTGTGTGTGTGTGTGTGTGTGTGTGTGTGTGTGAGAGAGATCCCAAAATCCCAAGAGGATAATGGTGGAGAAAGGATTGTGGCATGGCCATCCTTCCCTAGGGAGGTGATTTTTCATTTTCTGTCTCTCTACAGTGAGCACATATGCCCTATATGGGGAAAAAAGACTTGAAATATTTAATAACCTTGATAATAGATAAACACACCTGAGATGGCTCCAACACTACTGGTCAGCTTGAAACAAGTCGGGCATTTGGGTGAGTGCCCAGGATCTGAGGGGTGGGAGGACTTAAGGAGGGGGATTGTGGTATAATCTCCTTCATTCCTCCATCCCATCAGGATTCTGAGCGCCACTCAGAAGCACCTGATGCGGTTTTCAAGACACTGCAATTTGAATCCTCATCAGCCATATGGGCTCTAGCTTTCTGCGCACAGCACTTAACACTATCCCTCAAGGGCCTTATCTTAATTATATCTATGAAGACCATTTTTCCAAAGATGCTCACTTTCACAAGTTCCAGGGGTTAGGACACAGACACGTTTTTGGTATGTTCGGCCAATGATACATGGTGAAAAGACAGGTTTCTTAGGTTAGATACACTAACGTTGAAAAGGAAAAAACTTTGATGTGGAATGTAACACTACCTAGAGGACTTCAGGGACTTCGGGCATTGCGATAACTGGGGACACTCCTGGCAAAGCAGGAAAGTGCCTGGAATGCTCACTCCCTTGCAATGCATGGGACACTCCAGCATGAAGAACTGTCCCGTGTTCTATGTAATTTTCCAGAGTCACCCACAACTTGCATAGATCCCTGAGGACATTCATGTAGGGGAAAAACCTGTTTATAATGATCTCGTTCTAGAACATATCTCCATTTTACTAATAAATAGGAAGTTATATCATCTGTGAATTTTATTCCAGGGTAGTAAAAGGGACATTTCAAAATATGTATCATAAAAAGGAGGTATTGCATCTGAGTAAGCAGAAACTCACTCTCAGAGGAAAAATAATCCCCCAAGCTGTTCTTAAATATTCTTTTAAGTAAATTTTCTCAGAGGTAATGCTTTATCAGTGTTTCCTAAAGCTGTTCCAGTTGCCAGCCAATCCCTCAGTGGTGCATATTTAGATCTGCGTGACTCATTCAGTGTCTTGGAGAGTTGTCTGGAGCTCCTGAAATGGCAACTAAGATATCTTTTCTGTTATGTTGGGTGGCACTTTATGTGTTAACAGCCTTTCTGAAACTTCATATTCTTTCAGATAAGAATGCCATACACCAAGTGATTGTTGCTTGAATATATATCCCCAAATAAAGAAGTTAAGAGGTATGCATAAGTACTAATTAGATAATGAGAAGTAGGAGCCCTCTGAATAGAAAGAAGCAAAGCCCACCAAGACTGGCATCTTTCTCTGTTCCACTGACTACCAGTGCAGGCATTTAAGGATAAGATAGTAGGGAGGATAATAATTTATACTTCAAAATCAAATGCCTTCATGGTGCTCCTATAATTAACTCTGTTAATAGTAGGCTATTAATCTGCTCTCCTGCTCTTGAATTGAGTGCAGAAGAAGTATCTTTTGAACAAATTAGAAGGATAAAGAATGAAACAAAGACCCAGACTATGCAGCTCCTGGTGTATGATGACCTTTACAAGAAGTTCCTACCACATCCTAGAAGACACTTCAAAATCTGTATGTCCCCTATTGCAATCTCTTCTGTCCTCATTGTCTTCATTCTAATCCTAGAAATGCCAATTATGCTACATTACCTAGCACATAAGATCCACAAAGGCAGGGACATTGTTTAGTGCATTGTGTTATCTTCAGTTCCTAGAAGAGAGAGAGAGAGAGAGAGAGAGAGAGAGAGAGAGAGAGAGGTGAGAAAATGAGAAAGCAAGCTGTCAGATATAAGACTCGAACCAGTCAGCCATGTGGGACTCCAGTGCCTCAACCAACATGCCACCTGCTGGCTCATTTTATTCTTTCTTAATTGTATATGTTTTCACCAGATCTAGAGTTCCAGATTGATAATTATTCATGCGCTTCTTCTACAAGTTTTCTTTCCTTCTTTTTTTTTTTTTTTTAAAGAGAGATTTTTGCTATACAATGTGTGTGCTTGCCAGAAAGACAAAGAGAGATAAAAATGAGAAATCATGCTCTGGGGGTATGGCAACACCACAATCCCTTCTCCTCTTGGAATTTTGGGCACATGTGCACAACTGGCATGAGTTTTAAGTTGCCAGGTCCAGGACTTGAATTGCTGTCAACTACATGGGAGTCCAGTGACATAACCATGATGCCATCTGTTGGTCCTATTTTACAAGTTTTCTTTGTGGTTGAAACCATGTGCTTATTCTGGAGCAAAAATGTTACTTTCTATTTTTATTTTACTTTCTAAATCTCTTTTTGATAATTAATAGATATATTTGATCGATTTTTATTTTTATTTGTTACTTAGAGCTTTAAGGACTACTTAGAACTTTGACTACAGAAGCATTATAGGTTTTGAAGGCCTCCAAACATGGTTAACCCAATTCATTAGATAAATTTTGCAACCATAGATCCCGGACATGAATACCATTAACAGAACATTGTAAAGGGATTTATAGAAGAGCATGGGAACATGGAATCCCTGGATTATCTACTATTTACGTTCATTGGGAAAGACAGGAGTTACTGATTACATTGTTGGGTAGCAGGTTATTCCATCCCCAAATAGGTATTTTGGCAAAAGGATTATTTTGAACCGAAGGCATCTGAGAAGACACAGATACAAACAAAGCTCTTCCTCTGTTTGCCTTCAAGTGTAATGTAAATTTGCAAAGATGCTTTTCCTCCCCTCTCCATCAGGAAGGACAAAAGTCTATAGGCAACTTAGACCCTTGTCAGTCCAGAGGTGGCACCAGAGGAATCTATATAGCAGACTTCTCTAACTAGCCCTTAATCTTCTACTTGTTTCCCCTTATCTGTGACTTCTCACAATTTCTTGTTCCTAGATACTCAAAGTCCTTTTCCTTTGTCTTGTCACTTGTCTAAAACTTTATTTTTCTTCTGCTAGGATCTTGTTGAAACTCAGTTTGTAACCAGTCCTTTGAGTTACTCATCTCTGAGTACTCCCACATGTAAGCACAATGAACGTGCTAATAAGCTTCTGCTTATTCTCCTCTTTAATCTGTCTTTTGGTTTCTCTAATATACCAAGTCCCAGACAGAGAATTTAGGAGAGTAGTAGGAAAAGGAATTGTCCTCCCCTTCACCATAATTAAATTCATAGTTATTGAACTTTACTAATCTATAGATGATAAGTGCATGAGGGTTGATTTCTTATTTGTCTTGCTCACCTCTGTATCTTCAGGTCTTAGTATAGTGTCACGTACATATTTAGGATTCAATAATTATTTTAAAAAATTTTCCAGAGGGCCCATGCACTTGCCAGAGAGAGAGAGAGAAAGTGAGAAAGCACCCCCATGGGACCACATGCCACAATCCCTTCTCCTTCATTTCTTTATCTGTTCAGGATTTTGGGCACAATTTAATAATTTAAAATGATGCCATGTTCTAAACATAAAGGAGAAGTCATGGCACAGCTCCATTAACAAAACAGACACGAGTCTAGAGAGCAACACTAAGCAGGTGTTCTCTGTTGCCATGGAGGAATAAATGCACATCAGGTACACATAACATCTCTTGAAAGATCTGAGATGAGGCAGATAACCCTTTGAAACAAACTGCTTAATATTGAACAGAGGTAGAATACAAATAATTTGTTAACATTTTACTGCAAAATGAAAAAATCCTCAAGGTGACTGCTACCTTGAGTCCCTCATTTCATGTACTAGGTCTTGGCTTCTGTCTTCTCTCCTCAGTCATATTCAAATCCAGAAAACCTTCTGTATCCCATGCTCAAAAACACAATCCTGAATCCCCAAGGCCCTCAGCACAGCCTGACATTAATGAACTCGTGTGCACATGTTCCTGGTGTTTTTCAAGCTGCCAGGTCCAGGACTTGAGCTGAATGATTTGCTATGTGGTATCCATTTGCCTTGACCACTATGTCACTAGCTGGCCCTCAATAAATGTTTTGAATAAATTACAAATCAAAGAAAGGATACTATTGGTGGAAAGGTGGTGAGGGAGCTCTTGAAATAATATGGCTAGGATCAGCAGTTAGGGTAATGGCTATGCCGCTGGACTCCCATGTAGTTGACCACGGTTCGAATCCTGGATCGGGTGGCTTAAACTCACACCGGGTGCCTGTGTGTGCATGCCCAAGATCCCGAGAGGAGAATGGAGGAGAAGGGACTGCAGGCATGGCCATCCCCCTGGGAGGTTATTTCTCACTTTCTGTCTCTCCGTCTCTCTCTGTCTTTCTGGCAAGCGTATACGCCCTATAGCAAAAACCTCTCCAAAAAAATATATATATATGGGTAATATTTTTCATGTCTGTGTCTTTGTTTTTCATTTCCATTATCATCATAATAGTTTAGGACTTTATCATTGAATTCCTAATTTAATTAATTAATCAGTTAATCAATCAATTTTTTAGTTTTGGCAATAGGATGCATGTGTTCACCAGAAACAGAGAGTGACAGTGAGAGGGAAAGTGAGAAATCACTTCCTTGGAGGGGATGCCCATGCCATAATCCTTTCTACTCTATTCTCCTCCTGGGATTTTGGGCATGCACACACACGCGTCCAGTGTGATTTTCTAGCTGCCAGGTCCAGGACTAGAACTGCAGTTGGCAATGTGAGAATCCAGTGCCTTAACCACCACGCTACCTGTTGGCTCCTAGTTTAATTTATGTATCTTATCTTACAGAAGTATTTAGTAAAATTTAGGCAACTATACCAATCATCAACTAATTTTTAAGAACAAAAATTAATGAATTGAGTGTTGCTTTTTTTTTTTTTTTTGGATATAGGGCACATGTACTTGCCAGAAAGACAGAAAGACAGAGAGAGACGGAGAGACAGAAAGTGAGAAATCCCCCCCCCTGGGGGATGGCCACACCGCAATCCCTTCTTCTCCATTCTCCTCTCGGGCTCTTGGGCACGCATGCACACGTGCCCGGCGTGAGTTTTAAGCCACTGGGTCTGGGACTTGAACCACGGTCAACTACATGGGAGTTCAGCGACATAGCCATTATGCTAACTGCTGGTCCCTTCCTGAAGGCCTTTTCTAATCCTTTGGTATTTTAATCAATATCTTTTGACATTCTGATCCTGTCATTTTTGTTGATATATGTATTTCATTGATGACTGGAGGAGTTCTGCTAGATCCTCATCCATTAGTGGCTTTTGCTTATGAGAGAAGGAGCTCCTCATCAGTAAGGTGGAAAGGGACTAATTCTTTTTTTTTTTTCTTTTTTTTTGGAGAGGTTTTCGCTATAGGGCATGTGCACTCGCCAGACAGACAGAGAGAGACATAGAGACAGAAAGCGAAAAATCACCCCCAGGGGAGATGGCCACGCCACAATCCCTTCTCCTCCATTCTCCTCTTTGGATCTTGGGCACGCACGCACACACGCCAGGCGTGAGTTTTAAGCCACCCGGTCCGGGACGTGAACCGTGATCAACTATATGGGAGTCCAGCGACATAGCCATTATGCTAACTGCTGGTCCAGAAAGGGACTAATTCTATATAATGACCCAATGAACCACTCTTCAATGAATACTGTCAGTAATGACCACTATGGCTCCCCTGCCCAAATCATAAATGAATATACAAAAGAGTGGATCTGCCTAAGCTCACTGGAAGGAAAATTAATTCAGAGAGATCAATGTGGGCTCCATAAAATAGTCATAAAAGTCTACAAGAAAGTAATTAATCTGTGTCCTAAAAGACAGACCAGGATTGGATAAGGAGAAAGGGCTCTGAAGAGGAGGCATTCTAAGTTTTTAATTTTTTTAAAATTATCTGAGCCACTTCCTTTGCCAAATGTATTTGGTAGGTTGCCATCACATGCCTCACTCAATCAAACTGTGTCTAAGGCTAGGAGGCTCACTTGGGGGATTTGTTATAAAGATAGAGTTGAAAGCAGAAGAAGTAGGTCTGGGTGGAGTTTCCAATCTTCAATCTTCATTTTCACTTTGTTTATGCATCTTTTTCTGAGTGTCTGGAGGGTGGCAGATGGGCGCCACTTAATTGCTTTATAGATAGGAACTACCAGAAAGAGACAAACACGGTTTTGGTCTGTAGTCTGGCTAAGAGGCATGAACCATTCCCTCCACCTACTGGTATCAGCTGTCCTCTGCCACTCTGAGCAGGCCCCTAGGCTCTCTACATAACACAGCAGATTAATAGTGCAGGTTTGCATTTGTCTTGTAAGCTACGGGAGATGGCCACGCCGCAATCCCTTCTCCTCCATTCTCCTCTTTGGATCTTGGGCACGCACGCACACACGCCAGGCGTGAGTTTTAAGCCACCCGGTCCGGGACGTGAACCGTGATCAACTATATGGGAGTCCAGCGACATAGCCATTATGCTAACTGCTGGTCCAGAAAGGGACTAATTCTATATAATGACCCAATGAACCACTCTTCAATGAATACTGTCAGTAATGACCACTATGGCTCCCCTGCCCAAATCATAAATGAATATACAAAAGAGTGGATCTGCCTAAGCTCACTGGAAGGAAAATTAATTCAGAGAGATCAATGTGGGCTCCATAAAATAGTCATAAAAGTCTACAAGAAAGTAATTAATCTGTGTCCTAAAAGACAGACCAGGATTGGATAAGGAGAAAGGGCTCTGAAGAGGAGGCATTCTAAGTTTTTAATTTTTTTAAAATTATCTGAGCCACTTCCTTTGCCAAATGTATTTGGTAGGTTGCCATCACATGCCTCACTCAATCAAACTGTGTCTAAGGCTAGGAGGCTCACTTGGGGGATTTGTTATAAAGATAGAGTTGAAAGCAGAAGAAGTAGGTCTGGGTGGAGTTTCCAATCTTCAATCTTCATTTTCACTTTGTTTATGCATCTTTTTCTGAGTGTCTGGAGGGTGGCAGATGGGCGCCACTTAATTGCTTTATAGATAGGAACTACCAGAAAGAGACAAACACGGTTTTGGTCTGTAGTCTGGCTAAGAGGCATGAACCATTCCCTCCACCTACTGGTATCAGCTGTCCTCTGCCACTCTGAGCAGGCCCCTAGGCTCTCTACATAACACAGCAGATTAATAGTGCAGGTTTGCATTTGTCTTGTAAGCTACTTTCCTGGTCAAGCGTGTCCAATTAAGATGACACAAATTGAATCTGATTTCCCCACATTTGAACACAGCATTGGCTGTGCAAATCCAAAGATCTGGGCAAAATCCAGGTCAATTAGATTTTCTGTACTTGTGACTGTTTGCTTTCTAGAGTCTTGGTTTTCCATCTCTAAAATGATTACATTTCCCCTTCCAGCCACCCCAAATAGATCAAGTGTGACTATCCTTAGCAAACTCAGTAGTCCTGTGATTACTTGAATAGTCTCTATCTTTGAACAAGATTATGATGATAATAAGTAAAAAAATAGTATCTATCTTTGCACTTGAACTATAAGCTCTTGGAGGCAGAGATGATCTGTTCTATTGTTTGCAGGTTGAAGTAGAGTATATTACACACAGAAGAATCTCAACAAATATTTAATTTGTTGAATGAAAAAGCAAAACTGTCTTACCTCATACTTTCAAGGAGGCTTAAGTGAAAATGATTCAGCATGACCATAGGTGGGTGAAAACATTTATCTGTGGCCTCATCACACAAATGCAGGGCTTCCTTTGACAGAGAAGTCAGAAAACAGCTCATATTTTGACTTCACACCATTCTTGGTCACACACTGTCACCACCACATCTTTGTACTGTACAACCCTGGGGACAATCTCTGAGTGTTTCATGAATGTTCCTTTCGCTGCAAAAGGCTTTCCCAACTACCTTTATAAGTTCTTTGATGCCACAGTATGCTGCTATATTCAGATTTCTTTGCAAAAAGATACCTATCAAAGTCTCCTATGGCTGAACTCTGCGCTATCCACTGTGAAAATGGGCACTGAATTGTACTGTCTAGGTCTTCAACAGTCTGGTTTGGAAGAAAGCACTAATCTGACCCAAATCATTTGTCCTTCTAGAAAAGTACTGAAATGTACCTCTAGATATATAAAGTTGTAGAATTATCTCAAAGGTAATTTGTGTGAACAGATATTAATCATGGGGCAATGGGGCAGTCTTAGACTTTTCCTCCTGTCTGCTTGTTCCAAGTAAGTCTGGTTCTTCCCTTACTCCTCTGTTTGCCCAGCTGATCTACTAAATGAGTGTATGAGCACCACACCTTCTCACAGGACTATAACTTTGACGTCAGCAAGCTTCATTAGCTGCTGTTTGTCTAACCAAAGAGAACACAGGAGAGGTGGAAAGTATCTTCTAATTATCTGTCTGCCCACTTACCAGGTGCCACTCGCCCAGCTTTCAGACTGAGATTGGCATCAAACACAGCAGCCACACCAGCACACAGGCAACTATAGCAACGAGAGGCAGCAAAGGAGCCCAAGGCTGATGAGTGAGTGGAGCTTGCTGCTGTGTTTCTGGGAGGTGCAGGGGAGACACCTGTGCTTGGAAGTCAGGTAGATCCAGATTCCTATCCCACCTTTGCCACTTATTACCTGAGGGGCTTTTTGCAAGTTACTTTAATGTCTGAGTTTTTTTTTTTTTTTTTTTTCCCCCCTGAGATTGAAATGGGAATAATGATATAAACCTTCTAGAGCTGTTTTAAAAAGTAAAGACATATATTAAACTGTATGCTGCATTATACCACTCAGTAATGTATAGAAGTTATTGTTTATGACCTCCAGGAAGAATGAGCACAAAGATTAATATTTCCTGTGGTGTGTTCAGGTGGAAGAAAGTAGCCAATTTTCCACCTTATACACTAAAAGCAACTATTGCCAACTAGTTAAGCTTGTAAGTAGATTTTACTAAAAAGTTTGTGCATTTTGAGAGAGAGCGAGCGAGAGAGAGGGCAAAACAAGCATCCTCAATAGGGTTTCATTCCACAATCCATTGGGCCATAACAGATTTTTCAGGATGGAGCTTTGATCCAAAAGATAGTTCCTCACCTCTTCCACCCATTAGTTTTATTTAGTTTTGCTTTTCTTCTGATGCAGTTTCCTTATAAACTCACTCTTGGCTGTAATTGAGGTTACCGGAAATTAATTTAAAAAGAAATATAAATCCGTGTCAGGCTGATGGGTTGCCCGTCTCATCCCAGGCACACTGCTGATGATGTCTTATTCCACATCTCAAGCTTGTGCTGACACTGTGGGCCCAGCTTGCAGAAAATGCCCTAGAGCCAGAGTGACCAAGTAAATGCTTACATTTGCTCCCCTTGAAAGCTGCTGACCCCAGCCTCTCCCAACCTTGTTCGGTAGAAACTGGAACACACACAGTTCTCTGGAGAAAGAAGTGAAGCTGTAGGAATCTTTGGAGATGGAAGCTGGTGTGTCCCTGCCCTTGGGGCAGAGCCTTGAGGGAGCTAGCATAGAATTGCAGTTCAGTAAAAATTAGACTTTTATCAAGGCCAGACATGAGAACTAAAATACATAGAGAAACAGTTAAAAAGTAAAGGAGAAGAAAAGAGGGTTAGTCATTAGTTTAGCCAAGGTCTCATTCTATACATTAGCAGGTAACCTTGGTCATATTGCCTAACCTAAGTCTTATTTCCACAACTCTAAAGAGGGTTTAATGGATACCTATGCCAGAAGTTATTATCATAATTAAATAAGAAAATGTTGATGCAACACTTTGCAGATTACCCAGTACTTAACAAAAATATCATTGCTACTTTCTTTCCACAAATCCTATTTTTCACATGGTGGTATATTTCAGCTGGCTCACGCTGGAGCTATATTCAATTGTGTGTATCTCTTCCTGACTTCTATCCACTTGAAGGATATCATATTGGTAGCTTGAAATTTGCTATGATAGGAATGTTTACATCATGGAAATTGGCAAATACTCTAATTCAAGGATTCCTTAACACCTTTCCCTCTAGAAAGACAATTAAAAAAAATATTATGAATGGGGTTAGGGAGTAATGGAGAGAGAGAAGCAGGTAGTCTTCCTCCCCCCACCCCCACCCCCCACGCACCACCACCACCACTACAGGGTCTCATCTCACCGTAGTGAAATTCTCTTACCTCAGCCTCCCATAGCTAGGATTATAGACATACACTACCATGCCCAGACTGCACAGGTTGATTTGGGAACTAAATTCTGGCCTCCCACACAGCTCCACCCTCAGCTGACCAAGCTCTACTGCTTCAACTACCACGGCTGGGCCAAAAGCTAATTTTTAAACATTGACCAGCATGTCACTAATTAAACATTTTTGGGGCCTCTGTTTTCTCATCATTTAATGAGAGAATAAAACACTATCAACTCACAAATGTCAAATAACACAATAAAAAATGATAAATGACTAATAGTAGTAATGATTCATACTAATGTTAGCTAGAAAAGATGCCAGTGGCACTTCTTCCTGAGAAGCAGTCTCGAGTCCCAGGTTTTCTAAGTACCCTGGGGAAGCAGAAGACCAGAAAGGCACCTATCTGAGGTAAAATAAGGCTGGCATACTTACCTTCTCAACAAATACACTCAGCAAGAATGTATGCACTAGGCCTTGTGCTAGAGCCCAAGATATACCCATTGAAGTTAGAGTCTCTGCCTTCAGAGGGCTTACAGATTAAGGGGAAACAGGCTAGTAACCAGAATGGGTTAAATAAAATATATTCTTAAAATTAATTTTACTTTTTTTTTTTACTTTTTAAAAATCCAGCTACTAGAAATTTAAAATTACACATGTGTCTTGCATTATATTTTCACTGACCATTTGTACATCTCTTGAGAATATACAATTTTTTTTGTTAATTTGCCAGAAGGTGTATGTGTACACTGGAGAGAGACAGAGAACATGAGAAAGCACCTCTCACTGGGGATGGTCATGCCACGATCCCTTCTCCTCTATCTCTTCCTCTTTTCAGAATTTTGGGTGTGCAAAAATATGTGCCTGGCATGCGTCTCAAGTTGATTCAACTGTGCACTTGGCCATGTGGCATCCAGCCTCTTTAACCACCATTCCATGGGCTGGTCCAAATAAACTTTTAAATTGGATTGCCTTTTGTTGTTAAGTTATAAGTGTTCTTTATCATTCTGTATACTAAACCCTTTATAGATAAATGATTTGAGGAGAATTTCATCCAAATGGCGGGTTGTCTTTCTACTTTCTTAGTTGTAGCCTTTTCATGATTGATTTGGCTATTATTGATCCCTTGCATTTCCTATAAATTCTAGGGTTAGCTTATCTGAGAAACATGAGACAACAAGACACCAGGTCTGGGACTTGAACTGTAGCCAGTCACATGGGTGTGTCCAGCACTTTAGCCACTACTCCACCTGCTGGCCCCTATTAATTATTATTTTTAAAAATTGCTATAGAGCACTGGCACTCACCAGAGAGGGACAGGGTGTGGTGGTGGTGGTGGTGATGGTGGCAGTGGTGGTGAGAAAGCAGCCTGCCAAGTCCAGGACTTGAACCATGTTTGGCCATGTTCAGTGCCTTAACCACTACACCACCCACTGGCCCCTAGAATAGGAATTTTGATAGATATTGCATTGAATCTATAGATCATTATAAGAACTGTTGCCATTTTAACAATATTGTCTTCTAATCCATAATTATTTATTAACTTCTTTTAAAATTTATTTATGCAATGTTTTGTAGTTTTCAGTATACATGAAACTTGATTAAATCTTTTCCTAAGCATTTTATTTTTAATGTTCTTTCTTGTAAATGGAACTGTCAAACTTGGATGACAGTTACTTTATCAGGACTCCCCTTGTCCATTTACCTGATCTCTCTTTTAGGCTATTGCCTCTGCTAGTGTTGAACCTAGGTTTTAGGCTCCACTAATTTCTGGTTAATTTATTATTTTGGGTAATTCTCTGGAAGTTAACTTGTTCCACAGTTAAATCAATTAGGTGTAGGTCCTTTGCAGAGTTATCTCTTGAGGCAAATCTTTGAGGTTCATTCTGATACCAGGAGAGCTGTTGCTTCCCTGGTTACTTTTCATAATCCAGCCAACCCATGGTTTAAGGTCTTATTCTGTTGGTACCACTACACTCCTCTTAATTGCTGATTACCAAAATCTTCATTGTTTTTGACATTGATTTTAGTTAGGCTTGGACTTCCATACATTATGCTTAAATAAAGTCACCTCCTTTATGAAGAGTCTTGAACATTCTATCCTCATGGGCTGCCTCTTTCTCTGTACAAAACTCCAAGTCTCTGTTCTGAAGCTAAAGAAGAAAACAGTGATATACTTCTTATAGAGTGACACTCTGATTTAACAAGCAGCACATTAGATGGAGGTGACAGTCTCTGGTCTTCTCGGCTTGCTTCTTCCAACATGGACTCTTCTTCAACCACTTGGGAAACTGGGACAAGGGTGGTCAGGGCCCCATTATTTTATTATTATTATTATTATTTTAAGAATTATTTTAACTATAGGGACCAGCAGTTAGCGTAATGGCTATGTCACTGAACTCCCATGTAGTTGACCACGGTTCAAGTCCTGGACCCGGTGGCTTAAACTCATGCTGAGTGCGTATGTGTGCGTGCCCAAGATCCCGAGAGGAGAATGGAGGAGAAGGGATTGTGGCATGGCTATCCCCCCTGGGGGATGATTTCTTGCTTTCTGTCTCTCTGTCTCTCTGGCCAGTGCACGTGCCCTGTAACAAAAACCTCTCCAAAAAAAAAAATTAACTATTTATTTATTTATTTTAATTTGACCAGAGAGGGAGAGAGAGAGAGAGAGAGAGAGAGAGAGAGAGAGAGAGAGAGAAAGTGATAAAGCAAGCCCCCAGGTCTGGGACTCTTAACTGTGGTCGGCCATGTGGGAGTCCAGCACCCTTAGTCATCATTCCACCTGCTGGTTCCAGGGCCCCGTTATTTAGCTTGTTACATCTGGGGTCAATTCTGTGCCCAACCTGCATGAGATGGGTGAAAGAAGGGAGCCTCATATCGTTTGACCACACTTAACCAGCAACTTAGCCTTAGCATCTTGGAGCCAGAGGGGTTGAGAAATGCTGCTGGTCTGCCCTTCTGGGTGAGATACATATTATCTGATTGTGAGCTGAGAGGAGAGAGAGCTTGCTTTGTTGACCACACCCACCTAGATGGGAGCTTTGGTCACTGTGTTGAGATATGAATGAAGCAGGAAAGGAGTGGTGGTGGTTCAAGTGCCAGACTCTTGATGTTTTCATCAAGACTTACTACATTTTCTTTGTTTTTCTTAAAACTCGAGATTTCTGGTTTACATATAATTATTATATAAGCAGAGGAAGTTCTAGCAGAGAATAAGCTGTTGTCTCAGTTGGTGCTGCAGAGAACAAGCCCCATCTAACATAAACATTCAAAGGTTGTTTTACAGGAGTATGACTTCACAGAGAACAGCCATGAGATCTTACTAGCCTGAACCTATAGAAGCCAAGAGACTCCAAGGGTGAGTGGACCCTCACTGAACTTTGGTGAACTTGTACTCCTTGCAATACTAAAATCTCTGCCCTAGGCAGAGTTGTAGCTTCATTTATGTAACATACATCGTATGGAGAAACATGTGTCCACAGGAGCCTGTGTGTACATACTTGACCCCTAACCCTGTCCACTTTTCCTAAATAAAAGAGGTAAAGTCCCACGCCCTGGGAAGACACGGTGTTGGGGAACTATCCCAGTAATCTTCATTCTTCAGGACTTGAAATAAAAAAGTGTTCTTTGTGCAAATCCACCTGGTGTGGTCTATCTGCCTGACTCCTGCCAAGCCAATGGATTCAATTTAGGGTCCTTTAGATTTGTACAACTTTGTGAAGTATACTATGAGTACATTTTCTTGAATCTGTGTTTCTTCATCTGCTATGTGCCTTTAGGACAATTTTCAGAGACTTCGAATTGCTTTTATGTATTTTCCACTAGTCATAGTTGTTTCCGGGAGAATGAGTCCTCAGAGCTCTTCATGCTGCCATTTTAGAAGTAAAAGTTTAGTGATTTTTTTCTTTAGATAAAAATCACTAAAAATTTACCTATAATTTATTTTAGATAAAAATTCCCCCTTTGGGGCTAACAGGTAGTGTAGTGGTTAGGTTTCTGAACTCCTACATAGTTGACCCCAATTCAAGTCCTGGACTCGGTGGCTTGAAAATCACAAGTGCACATGTGTGCATGGGTATTAATGCCCAAAGTCCCAGGAGAAGAATAAAGGAGAAGGGATTGTGGTGTGGCCATCCCCCAGGAGGCAATTTCTTGGTCTCCCTCCCACTGTCTTTATGTCTCTCCTCTCTGGAAAGTGCATACTCCCTATGGCAAAAACCTTAAAAAAAGATTCTCCCTTATAAAGGGGAAAATTTATTTTTTAAATGAAAGATATTTGTTCAATAATGGGTAGCATATAAGCAGTTAACTAGTGAATCCGAGGTGGAAGATGAGTCATGGTCACGCTGCAATCTCTTCTCTTTCCAACCTGTTGGTATTTGGGGCATGCACACACACATGCCTGAGATAAAATATTTACAAAGTATATTGATGATAAAGTAATGTATATTATTAATGAAAGCACATCTGAAGTATGTGGAAATTCCTATAAATTTATAAGAAAATAACTGGCAATCGAATAGAAAAATGGACAATGGACATGTGTAGGCAATTCATAGAAGGCAGCAACCTTTAAAGCTAATACATTCATGAAGAGAGGCTTAGTTAATAGTCTTGGAAAATGCAATTAAAACAAGATTTCACTTTACTCTCAACATTAAGCAAAAAATAAGTTACTTGCTTTCAAATGCTGATGGCAAATGGGCAAACAGAAAGCCTCATGTACTATTGGTGAGAGTATATGCTTTTAGAGGTTAATTTTGTGGTATTTACTAAAATTAAGTACATATTTAGCCTCTAATTCAGAAAATTTCATGCTTGGGTAAACGCCATAGAATGTCTTTCACAAAGAAGCAAGGGCAAGGTAATTCACAGCAGCAATGCTGTATTTGTCAGGGCAAAGATCTGGAACCAACATAAATGTTCATAAACAGGAAACAAATGAGTATAATGTGGTATGTGCATATTACTACACTCAAGGAGTCTTCAAAAGGTTAGTGAAAATGGGGAACCAGCAGTTGGCGTAATGGCTATGTCGCTGGACTCCCACGTAGTCGACCGTGGTTCACGTCCCGGACCTGGTGGCTTAAAACTCACGCCTGGCATGTGTGTGTGCATGCCCAAGATCCCGAGAGGAGAATGGAGGAGAAGGGATTGCGGCGTGACCATCCCCCCTGGGGGGTGATTTCTCACTTTCTGTCTCTCTGTCGCTCTCTGTCTGTCTGGCCAGCGCACGCGCCCTATAGCGAAAAATCTCTCAAAAAAAAAAAAAGGTTAATGAAAATGCATATTATGAAAAAACTATGTATGGATTTAAAAATAAACTCAAACTTTCATTCCATTTTTCCAATGACCTTTTATAAGTCCCCTCATACAATGTAATAATAAAACAAAAATTTTACTTGCAAAAGAGTGAGTATACTCACCAGAGAGAGACAGAGAGACAGAGGGAGAAAGCACTCCCTGTTGGGGTGTGATCATGCTGCAATCTCTTCTCTCTCCAATCTATTGGTATTTTGAGCATGTGCACACACATGCCTGGTATGTTTTTCATAAGGTTTGAGACTCAAACCATGCAACTGGCCATGTGTGATCTGGCTCCCTCAATCACCAAGCTATGGGGCCACCATTCAAAAATAAGAAACTGTACCTACATATATCAATTAAGGATAGTGCACAAAGGTAATATTGAAGACAAAATGTAAGAGGTAGAGCAAAATGCTTAATACAATGCAATTAATTTAAAACGTAAAACAGCATATTGTTAATTGTTGCACAAATTTGTGAAAAGAGGTATGGATGGTGAAACGATATGCATTAAATACTTAAGGGTGGGTATGTGTGGTGAGAGAGGAGACTGCAGATGGCATTGAGCATGGGGGGTAAAGATGATTTAACAATGCATACAATTAAATTAAAAAGAGACTATTTAGGTAGTGCTGTGAGTAATGTGCCACACTGGAGTATTATTGGCTCTACCAATCCAATTCTGTGTGCAGAAGCTTCATAATATTAATCATAATGATAAAGTTGGATATTGTATTTATAAATGACAAGCAGTACAACCTATCTTTGCTGGTTCTCTCCTTTCTGATTGCCTTACAGGAGCGGCACCAGAACTAGGGAAATAAACAAGTCAAGAGATACTTTGAAAATCTCTACAAAAAATGGTAGTTTGAATTATATTATATTTCACTTTCATGAAAACTGGCCATGGATTACTGTTATAAAAATTACTCTTTATTTGTTTAAACTGGCTAGTGGCTCAGTCAAGTAGTCAGGTAGCAACCACTCAAGAAGGCATAGTTTAAAAAGGAAATATTTCAACAAGGCAAGCTATCAAGGATCACATGAATTATTCATACAAAATGAAAACAAAACCCTGAACAAAAATCTGTAAGCCCTGAAATGTGTCCAAACAGTGCCATCTGCTCACAAAATCATAGCCTATTGGATCTTTCCAGCACTGAGTTGGATTGTCTCCACAACGCTGCATAGGCAAATCCTGGTGTGCCAGATTCTCGGAGAGTTTCCTAGGGAAGAAGGCAACTGGTAGGGCTTTATTCTTCTTATCTTATATACCTTGAACTCTACAGTCAGCCATGTGGGATCCAACTCCCATAATCACCAGGCCATGAGCTGTCCTGGAATGCCCACTTTATTACCATTAGATTGCCAATTCATAACCATTCTTCAAATATCATCTCAAGACCACAAGAGAGTAGAATGAACAAGAGTCCCAGATATAGACAAACATGGGTAAATATCTACTCTGAGCTTCTAATTAAGCTACATGATCTTGGGCATAGTTTTAAACCTTCCTGTGCTGCAAATTCTGGAGTAAAGTGGGAAAAATAAAATCTAACTTTTGAGAAGTTAAAGTTATTCATGAGAAGTAAAATAGAGTGAACAGTAAATAAATATTTATACATACTGTCCCCTTCACGGTCCCTAACTGCTCTTGTCCCTCTCCTTTCTTAGAACTTTCCCAGCATACCCAGGTGAAACTCAACAACTTACTATTTGGATTGCACTCTCATTTTATGATGTGAATCTTGTTTGACTAGGAAAAGGTTGATATGAGCTTTCTTTTTTCTTCTTCTGACCTCAACTTTTGTTATTGTCATTATTTTATGTATTTATAAATTTGATTTATTATCATAATATTGCCTACATTACATTGAATCACATATATCTTTACAGTATATTACATTTCTTTTTCAAGAAGGAACTTTGCATATCAGACAAGACAAACACATTACTATCCCTATCATCATCAAATAGCTTTTCATAATTTTTCTAGATTGTTATTATTATTCTCATTTTTAAAAAACATTCAATCACTATTTATCATTTTGCTTGTAAAAAGAATTTACTCTACTTGAAATACTTCTCAGACCAGTCCAGTTGAGAACACTATACATGTCATCATCAACAGGTAATAAACCATTTCTGTGTCCCACTAATGTCATGCCTCTCTATTTGTTCTGTTGCTATCTTTCTCTATACTCTTCCCTTTTCTTGCCTTGTTTCACACTATCTCAGCATCCATAACTATTTTCACTGCTTTTATGCCCTCCAATATTTCGATCTCTACCATAAAGTGTGGATAGTCAGTGTATATTAAGTGGATACATACAATGGCTTTCTTTCATATCCTGGCTTGCTTCGCTCAGCTATAACTACTCCATATCTGACCACTTTCTATCAAATGCCAGGGTCTTGTTGTTTTTTATGGCTGAGTAGTATTCCATAGAGTATATGTGCCACATTTTTTAAAATCATTCATCTGTTTGTGGACATTTGGGTTGGTTCCATGTCTTAGCGATTGTGAATAAAGCTGCAATAAACATGGATGTACAAGTGCTTTTCTGACTGAGCATTCTCCTGTCCTTCAGGTACATACCCAGAAGTGGGATTGCTGGATCAAATGGTAGTTCTATTTGTAGATCTTTGAGGAACCTCCATATTGTTCTCCACAGTGGTTGAACTAGTTTACATTCCCACCAACAGTGTAGGAGAGTTTTCTTTTCACCACATCCCCGCCAACACTTTTTATAGTTTTAATCTTTGCCATTCTGACAGGGGTTTGGTGGTATCTCATTGTGGTTTTTATCTGCATCTCCCTTATGATGAGGGATGTTGAGCATTTCCTCATATGCTTTATGGCTGTTTGTATGTCTTCCTTAGAGAGATTTTTGTTCAGCTCATTTTTCCATCTTATAATTGGGTTAATCATGTTTTTCAAGTAAGCCTCTTAAGTTCCTGTGTATTTTGGTTATCAGTCCCTTGTCTGAGGCATATTTTACAAAACTAATCTCTCATTCTGAGGGTTGTTGATTCACACTTATTACTGTGTCCTTTGCTGTGCAGAAACTTCTTAGTCTGATATCGTCCCACTTGTCTATTTTAGGGATTATTGCCTGTGGTTTGGGAGTCTTAATTAAGAAATCTTTGCCTTTTCCAATGGCTCCCAGAGTTTCCCCAGTATTTTCCACCAGTAGTTTTGTAGTTTGAGGTCTTAGGTTCAGATGTTTGATTCATTTTGAGTTGACTTTTGTTAATGGTGAAAGATGGGGGTTCAGTTTCATCTTTCTGCAGGTGGATACCCAATTTTTTCCAGCATCATTACTAAAGAGGTTTTCCTTTTTCCAATAGATTGACTGGTATCCTTTGTCAAATATCAGTTAGCTGTAAGCTTTGGGTTTTATTTCTGAGGTCTCTATTCTATTCCATTGGTCTACCTCTCTGTTTTTTTATGCCAGTACCATGCTGGTTTGATTATCACGGCTTTATAGCATGTCTTGGGATCACGGAGTGAGATGCTGCCTACTCCATTCTTCTTGCACAGGATTGCTTTGGCAATATGAAGTCTTTTATGATTTCAGACAAATTCTATGATTGTCTTTTTCTAGATCTGTGAAGAATGTCGCTGGTATTTTGATCAGAATTGCATTAAATACATAGATTAATTTGGGTAGAATTGCCATTTTGATTATGTTAATTCTTCCAATCCAGGAACATGGGATGTCCTTCCACTTTTTTATGTCCTTTTCAATATCTTTTAAAGATTTTTCATAGTTTTCTTTGTAAAAGTCTTTGACTTCCTTAATTAGGTTTATGCCTAGGTATTCTATACATTTTGTGGCTATGGTGAAAGAGATTCCTTTCTTCAGTTCTACTTCATTAAACTTGTTGCTATAGATTTTTAAATGTTGATTTTGTATCCTGCCACTTTACTGTATTCACTTACTATTTCAAGAAGTTTTTTTTATGAAAAACTTTGGGTCTCCTGAGTATACCATCATGTTATCTGTGAATAAAGATGTTTTCAACTCTTCTTTGCCTATTTGAATGCCTTTTATATTGTTCTCTTTTCTGATTGCATTAGCTAACACTTCCAGCACTATATTAAAAAGCAGTGGAGAAAGGGAGCAGCCTTGTCTAGTACCAGGGTTTTTTAAAATTTATTTATTTATTTATATACAGTCAACCACAGCAGTATTATTATTACAGCTTGAAAAATGAATTTTCCCAGCATGAATACACTGTACATTAGGCCAGTCAAAGGTATTAGTATATACTTTATCATCAACAGATAATTCTCCATTTCTGTGTTACTTAAATGTTTTGCTTCTTTCTTTTTCCACTTGATTCCCTTCTTCTCACCTTTCCCTATTTCCTTCCCTCCTTCCACACGGTCTTTAGTATCCTCAGTTGCTCTCCATACTTTTATATCTTCCATTTTCTGCCACAGAATGTGGGCATTTGGTATATAGTACGTGGGGACATATAGTACTAGTTTTTAGTGGAAAAGCTTTTAGCTTTTCCCCATTTAGTATAATGTTAGCTATAGGCTTTTCATATATTTCTGACCTCAACTCCTGCCTATGCTCCCCATTTTCTCTCTTTGGTGTCCAGAAAAATGGGTGCACAACAAATTCTTACAGATGTCCTGACTAGAGGGCTCCTACCTACCCTAGAGCTTTCCAGGAAAACAACTCAGTCAAATATGAAATGTCTGGACAGATAATCAGGAAAAGTTTATTACTAGAGACAGAAAAAAATTGCTAATTTTTGCACAATTTGACTGCAAAAGATAGTGCCAAGCATTTCTGTTTCTATAGCATCACCTCTTACTCCATCGAGCATTTACTTCAGATGGAGCGCTGGAAGCCTTTTTCATGTTGGGTCTTGTTTCTCCTTTTTTATGATCCCTCCCACACTGTGTCTTTCCTAAGGCACCTGCAGAAACACTTTCCGGGCCTCTGCCCTAGAGAATCAATCATTAGTGGTTCCACTCAGATGTGGCTCCAGGTCTTCCCTGAGTGCAGCTGGAAAAGGTTTTAAGCCCTTAGATTCTGTTTTTTGTTTTTTGTTTTTTTGAGAGGTTTTTGCTATAGGGCGCGTGTGTTCGCCAGACAGACAAAGAGAGACAGAGAGACAGAAAGCGAGAAATCACCCCCCAGGGGGGATGGCCACACCGCAATCCCTTCTCCTCCACTCTCCTCTTGGGATCTTGGGCACACACGCACATGTGCCCGGCATGAGTTTAAGCCACCAGGTCTGGGACTCGAACTTCAGTCAACTATTTGGGAGTCCAGCGACATAGACATTACACTAACTGCTGGTCCCAAGCCCTTAAATTCTGAAGAGTGCTTTGGAACCAAAAACCAACAAAATTTCTTTTGTCAATAGAGAATATTATCCAGAGAATAACTTCACTGCTTCAATCTGCTGACAAAGCACCTATTTCTATATTGCTTTATAATAAAAATATTTCCCATTTATTGACCACATATTTAAGCCTATGCAGTATATACTATCATTATCTTTATTTTACAAATGAGGAAACTGAGACGCAGAGATTTTGAGTAACTTCCACAAGATCTGTATGTACTGCCTAATTAAAAACTGCATGGCTACTTACTCTGTAGTTAAACAAGGTGCAAGTTAAAGAAAATCTCACCCTGCCCCATAAGTCTTAACATATGGAAATGCAACTCTTTTTTAAAAAAATTAAAAATTAATTAACTAATTAATATTTACTCACATCTTTACAGTATACTTTTCTTTTTTTTTGCACAAATACTATGCATGTCAGTCAAGCCAAAGATATTACTCTATAACTTATCAACAAATAGCTTTTCATTTTTTTGTCAATTAAGCATACTTTTACTTTTTTCCTTCCCCCCTCTCCCTTCCATACTAAACTTTTTTCCATATTTCATTGATTCACAAAATATGTTAAACTAAAAATATGGACAAAGCTAGAATCTAATCACAAGTGTCCTGTAATTTACTTCTGACATTTTTTTCTGAAACTTTTTTTAACTTAATTTACATTCATTCCCTAAGCATTGTCACAGCATACAAAATGTGATTTCCCATCCAGAATATACTGCATGCATGCTATCGTCAAAAATTTTCCATTTCTCGGGAACCAGCAGTTAGCGTAATGGCTATGTCGCTGGACTCCCACGTAGTCGACCGCGGTTCGCGTCTCGGACCCGGTGGCTTAAATCTCACGCCGGGCATGTGTGCGTGCGTGCCCAAGATCCCGAGAGGAGAATGGAGGAGAAGGGATTGCGGCGTGACCATCCCCCCTGGGGGGTGATTTCTCGCTTTCTGTCTCTATGTCTCTCTCTGTCTGTCTGGCGAGCGCACACGCCCTATAGCGAAAACCTCTCAAAAAAAAAAAAATTCCATTTCTAGTTTAAATTGAAATAGATTAAATTCTGGGATATAATATTCAACTCCAGACTTGTCCCTATGATTAAGTTGGCCATTTTCTTAGTTTTTGAACTCTTATTTCTATGTGTCTGAATTTAACTTTCCTGATATAGCACTCCCTTGAGAACTTCTTGGAGATCTGGTCTGGTGTTGGTAAATTCTTTCATGTTTTGTTTATCTGAGAATGTTCTTGTCTTTTCTTCCCACATGAAGGATAATCTTGCCGGGTACAGTATTCTTGGTTGAAATTGCTTGGAAAGGCATCTCTGTTGAAGTCTTTCAGATTTCCCAGTGAATAAGTGGGTGACATAAGAATCTTGTTTTTCATTCAGTACCCTAAAGAGGATTTGATAGGGTTAGAGCTCAACCAACAAGGACTCTTTTCAGGCCTTTCCTGGTCTTCTTTGATTAGTGGGGAACCCAGGAGTCTTGGTGGGGAGACAGTATTTGCATTGGGTACTGCTCAGGAGGCATCATAACCATGTGATTTGGTTATTACTAAGCTTAGAAGGAAAGATCATGTAACAAGAGGTATTGAGAAAATGCCAGGGCCAGCCTGTGACCTGGTGGTTAAGGTAACTGGGTCGCACATGGCTGATCAGTTTGAGTCCTGTATCCAGCAGCTTGAGAAACATGTTGGGTATGTGTGTGTGCTTTCCCCAAATCCCAAAGAGATGGGAAAGATGGCAGAGAAGGGACTGTGGTGGGACTATACCCTGAAGGGAGTGCTTTCATAACCCTCCCCCCCTTTTCCATCTCTTTCTGGAGAACACACATGCCCTTTGGGAAATTTAAAAAAAAAAAAAAAGGGCTGGTGAGTTTGTGGCTCAATGTGAATGCAACTGGATCCACAAGTGAAAAGTGCTGGGTTTGTGTCTCGAGACCTTCCTGAGCGTGCCTAGCACATGCACAAGAGCCTGGGATCTGGGCTGGCTGAGGCTGGGGTGAATCACAGTGTGAGGACCCCTGTCTTTCTTTCTCATAGGATAAATAAATGAATAAACTTGAAATAAAAAAAAGAAAGAAAAGTTCACCTCAACAGAAGGAAGAAAAACAGAGGAGAATATACTACAAATCCAATCTAGGTACATTTCTAAGCAAATCCAATAGAATACTTTCCAGAACAGCAGTCCAACAATACATTACCAAAGTGCCATGCATGGAAATGGAATGAGAGAGAGCCCTGCATTTCACTTAAAATACACCACTGGCAGACCAGCTGGTGGTGTGGTGGTTAAGGTGGCTGGATTCCACACAGTCAACTGCATGGTTCAAATCCTGGACCCGATGGCTTAAAAAACACACCAGGCATGTGTGTGGGGGCACCCAAAATCCTGAAAGAAGAGTGGGGGACAAGGGAATGTTATCTGGTCATTCCCCCTGGAGGGTGCTTTCATGAAAAAAGGGTGAACCTTCTGCTCTGTCTCTCTCCATTGAGTGTATATACCATATAGCAAACATTAAACAAATTACCCTACTGACTATCAGTGACTGCAAGATAAGTAAAAATCTAAAAATCCTTATCAGTAAAATGTGCATTAGATAAAATAAAACTGAATAAAATATTTTCTTTTTTTTTTTTTGGAGAGATTTTCGCTATAGGGCGCGTGCGCTCACCAGACAGACAGAGAGAGACATAGAGACAGAAAGCGAGAAATCACCCCCCAGGGGGGATGATCACGCCGCAATCCCTTCTCCTCCATTCTCCTCCCGGGATCTTGGGTACGCACGCACACGCGCCCGGCGTGAGTTTTAAGCCACCAGGTCCGGGACACGAACCGTGGTTGACTACGTGGGAGTCCAGCGACATAGCCATTACGCTAACTGCTGGTTCCCCTGAATAAAATATTTTAATTCACAAAGGGGCTACATTCATCAATCTGTATATCTTTAAAGAGGGGTCCCAGCAAAAGAAAATCAGATCCCTTTGTTTTGCCCTCCACAAATACAATGGTGACCCAACTTTTCTTTATTCTGATACAACACAAGATGTTGGACAATGTATTTTCCTCATGATAAATATGAAATAAAAAATCTTTCTTCTCTCCAAATAGGAAGATAGCATTTACTATTAAAACGGATTACCTTTTTCTTTCTTTCTTTTTTTAAAGTGCAAGAGAGTGCACGCACTTTCTGGAGAAGGGGAGAGAAAGGAAAAGCATCTTTCATGGTAGGTATAGTCATGCCGTGGTCCCTTATCCTTCATCTCTCCCATATTTTGGAATTTTGGGCACACACCCATAGTGTACTCAGACTGCTTCTCAAGCCACAGGGTCTGGGATTCAGTCTGCATAGTGAGCCACGTGGGATTCAGCTGTCTTTACCAGCAGTCCACAGACTAACCCAGGATTCTCTTTTTCTAGTTCATTTGCACTCAATTTCACATAGGCCTAATCCCATATGTTTTCACTCATTAATGGAAGCTAAAAGAGTTAATTGTATGGATGTGGAGATTGTGATGGTGGATACTAAATGTTGGAAAAGGAAAGGTGATGGTGGAGGATGGGGAGAATTTGGTTAACAGATACAAGAGTGCAGGTGGATAAGGGGACTGAAATTAAAAACAAAATTTACATTAGCCTGTAAGATAAACCAAACCAAAGAATAGGTCAGTTTAGGAATGACTTGGTGGTGCAGTGGTAACAGGCTGTTCAGTGATGCTGGGTCCACAGAGAGGATCATGGATTTGGTTTCTAGGTCGACTTATACCTGCCAACAGCGTGCACCTATGAGCCTGGTTGGCTGGCTAGGGTGGGAGAGAGAGGATTGTGGTGTGGAACTCTGATGGGGTGCCTGTCTTTCTTTCATTCTCATGAAAAAAATAAACACACTTAAAAAATAGACCAGTTTTGGGAACCAGCAGTTAGTGTAATGGCTATGTCACTGGACTCACATGTAGTCGACTGCGGTTCATGTCCCGGACCCGGTGGCTTAAAACTCACGCCAGGCGCGTGTGCGTGTGTGCCCAAGATCCCGAGAGGAGAATGGAGGAGAAGGGATTGCGGCATGACCATCCCAGGAGGTGATTTCTCACTTTCTGTCTCTATGTCTCTCTCTGTCTGGTGAGCGCACACACCCTATAGCAAAAACCTCTCAAAAAAAAAAAAAAAAAAAAAGACCAGTTTTCTACCTATTGCTCCCTCAGGAAAAAGAAAAATGCAGTAAACTGGTAAGAGGAGGTTTCATAGATAAATTTCATGTCAAATTCATAAGCCATAGTGGATGATTTCACGGATATTTAATCAGCCTGTTTTACTCAGATTCGTTGTGAAAAGAGATGCTCTCTTTTGTTTTTTTTTTAGGTGCAGGAAGCTGAGTTCCCTGCTGGGTGAGAAAGCACAGAGTGCCTTTTCAGCTTTCAGGTCATCAGGAAGCCAATACCTCAGCCAGCTCCAAGGTGTCCATACTGCCACGGCTCTTGAACCAGACAACCTTGCCCCTTTTAATGTAATACATTGTCTATGAAGAGTGTATACCTTTAAGAACTTAAAGTAATTATGTTCTGACTATTACATAAGGCAGAGGTCTCCAACTTTTTTGGCACTGGGGACCAGGTTTTGGGAAAACAACTTTTTCCATGGATAGGGGTGGGATGGGGAGCTATGGTTTTGGAATGACTCAAATGCATTACCTTTATTGTGTACTTAATTTCTATTATTATTGCATTGTAATATGGAATGAAATAATTATACAACTCACCATAATCAGAATCAGTGGGAACCCTGATTGCTTTTCAGTAATGAGATGGTCTTATCTGGGGGCTCCTATGAAAATATAATGTCACTGCTGCTCTGATGGGAGAGGAAGCTCCAGTGATAATGCCTGTGATGGGGAGTGGCTGTAAATACAGATGAAGTTTCTCTCACTTGCCTGCCACTTACCTCCTGCTGTGTGGCCTGGTTCCTAACAAGCCACTGACCAGTGACCCAGGGGTTACGGATCTCTGTTGTAAAAGGCATTGGTTCCACACATTTTAATCAATCCAGCTGCAGTTAATTTTGTACAGCTAGTGCCTGCTGAACAGCTATTAAGAACAAAGCACTATGGTAGACTCTTGAGTCCAGGCACTTTCATGGGTAGAGGAACTCAAAACCTTGGAGCTTTTCTTTCCCCTTTTAAAAACAACTTTGTTGAAGTTTCACTTACATACCATACAATTTATCCATTTTAAATGTGTGACTCAATGACTTTGAGTAAATTTACAGAATTGTGCATAGTCACAATACAAATTTACTCACTACCTTGGAAGTTTTTATAGATATATTGATGCCTAGACCATGCCCCAGGCCACTTAAATCAGACTGTATGATTTTTTGCCTCCAGAGGGTGCATGCATTTGATAGAAAGAGATAGAGAGACAGAGAAAGAGAGGGAAGGAGAGGAAGAAAGCAACCCCCAGGGGGAATAGTCATGCCACAATCTCTTTGCCCCCATTATTTCATCCTACCAGGTTTTGGGCAAACATGTACATGTGCCTGGTGAGCTCTGCGGGTTGGGATTCAAATCACAGTAGGCCATGTAGGATTTGGCTACTTAAACACTGGGTGATGAGACCAGCCCATGTTCAACTTTTTTGAGGATGATTCTGGCAACTTGCCAAGTGGTTATGCAATGCAGCATGTACTAAGAAGGACTGATACAGAGGATATAGATATGAGAAGTACCTTGTTCCTGCCTTTAGACAGGGTTTCTTGGTGCTATTGATATGTCAGGCTGAATAGTTCTTTCTTGTGAATAGCTGTCCTATGCATTGTAGGAAGTTTAGCAGCATCCTTTGCATCTACCAACTAGATGCCAGTATATCTTCTCCCTGCCCTAAACCATAACAAGCAAAAATACCTATAGACATTGTCTAATGTCTGTGAGGGGAAGTAGTCCCCATTTGAGAACGACTGGTTTCCAGGGGCTATAGGGTATGATTACAATTAAGTTGAAAACTTAACAGAAATGTTAATACCATAAAAGATATAAAAGCAATGCTATAGCAATTTGAAGAATAAGAATAAAAGATCTTGTGTTGTTCGAGTGTGCTATATGGCAGTATTGTAGGTTTTGAAGCAACAAGGTCTAGACTGGTATCTTGGTTTAGCCATTAGCTGGTTTTATGATCTTGTACAAGGGAGCTAAATTTTTTGAGCCTGTTTTCTCATTGTAACCATTTAATATATACTAGTTCAGTCTAATAGGTAAAATAAAGAGAATGATATTTAGCTTGCTGTACCCTTGGCAGAGGGAGTAGATGTCATGTATCAACTATTAGCACACAGTAGACACTTGATATAACTTTACCTTGACTAGAAGTTTACTCTGTGCTAGTTATTGTGGTAAATGTATTACATAGTATCCCTTTTCACTCTCACAACAACTATTAAGTTGGTGTAATTATTATCTCCATTTTACAGATGTGGAAACTGAGATTTAGAGAAGTTTAATAACTTTCCCAGGTAAAGAGCTTGGTAAAAAGGGAGACTCAAGAGACAGATTAGTCTGGCTTGAAGTCATGTATTTGAAAACTATGCTATATGACAGTACCTTTTAAATTTGTTCATTATAGGGACCACTTAGTACACTGTTGAAAAGACACATCTCAGGATTCACAAGTTCTGAGATAGGGACATGGATTAGTGTTTTCTACAAATGTCACAGATGATTCCTATGATTAGCTAAGCTTACAAATAATGGTTATATGCTTCTCATAGATGCTGAATAAATATTAAATAAAAATAAGCTGGAAAATATTCTGGTTTGAAAATACATAGAATGTTGATAGAAATAACAAAAAGACAGCATTTACTGAAGGAGGGAATAGCATGAATAAAGAGACACAAATGTATGAGTCATACTTGTGTATTGTTCTAATAAGAGCTAACGTTTATTTTGCACTTTCTGGGACCAGTCACTGTCCTAAGTATGCTATAGATGAGGGTACTTCAAAAAGTTTATGAAAAATGGGGCCAGCAGGTGGCATAGTGGTTAAGTTCCTGGACTCCCATATGGTTGATGATGGTTAGATTCTCACACCTGGTGACTTGAAAACCACACCGGGTGCATGTGTGTACATGTCTGAAATCCTAGGAGGAGAATGGAAGAGAAGGGATTGCAATGTAGTTGTCCCTCCTGGGCATGGTTTCTCACTTTTCTTCTCATCGTCTCTGTCTTTCTGGTGAATGCACTCACTCCATGTCAAGAAAAAAAAAAAAGTTTATGGAAAACGAATCAAACTACAAGTTTATTCTGGAGCAAAAATTTTACGTCCATGCATTTAAAAAAAATTTTTTTTTTGGAGAGGTTTTTGCTATAGGGCGTGTGCGCTCACCAGACAGACAGAGAGAGACATAGAGACAGAAAGCAAGAAATCACCCCCCAGGGGGGATGGTCACGCCACAATCACTTCTCCTCCATTCTCCTCTCAGGATTTTGGACACGCACGCACACGCGCCCGTCGTGAGTTTTAAGCCACCGGGTCTGGGACGTGAACCGCGGTCGACTACATGGGAGTCCAGCGACATAGCCATTACATTAACTGCTAGTTCCCTGCATTTTTAAAATTTTATAATCTGTGTTTTCCATGAACTTTTTGAAGGCCTCTGAATATATCTTTTTACTTAATCTTAACAAACAACTTCACAAGGTGGGGAACTCTTATTTTCTTATTTGTGGGTGAAGAAACTGAATTGTAAGAAGAAGAAACTTACGTAAGATCACATATGAGCAAGGAGTCAAGCCAGGGTTTGACACTAGACACCTGAAGCCAGAGCCTGACCTTTCTAACCTAATTGTGTAAAAAGACAGGGACCAAATCTGTACTTCTAACCACTTGCTCTATGAGAGCACTTCCTATGGGCCAGTCTCTCTGCATGTATTACATCTGGTCTTCAAACAACTGGATTAAAGTACCTGAAGCTCAAGAACACACATGGAGCTGGTCCTATCGCAGGGGTTACATTGAAATGTTAGTTTGTCTGCTCTCAAATTCTTATTTTTCAACTCTCTCACAATTGTCTCATTCCAAATGGTGGGGTTCTTTATTCTAGTTTCATACGTCCCTTAAAAACATTTATTGTATGCCCATTGTTCATTCAACAAATAGTCACGATTATGCAAACTGGGCAGAGCAGCATAGCTACACAACACTGAGGCATGGTCATGTCACGGAAGGGGTCCCAATGTTGTGTGGAAACTGACACACAAACAACTAATCCTAACAGTAGGACAGTATAAAAGGTAAGCTTTCTAGAGAAAAGAAGGATTAAATTCCACATAAGGAAGCAGAGGATTGGAGATGGTATTTGAGTTGAGACTTGAAGAATAAGCCTAAGAGACAAACTGAGGGAGGAACCTTAATGCTTCTTTGCACAGGTGAGTGCAAAAGCAAATGAGCATTTAATGATGAACTCATGGGAGGATGAAAAATCAGGAGAAGATGGAACCAGCAGTTAGCGTAATGGCTATGTCGTTGGACTTCCATGTAGTCAACCGTGGTTCGTGTCCTGGACCCAGTGGCTTAAAACTCACGCCGGGCGCGTGTGCATGCGTGCCCAAGATCCCGAGAGGAGAATGGAGGAGAAGGGATTGCGGCGTGACCATCCCCCCGGGGGGTGATTTCTCGCTTTCTGTCTCTATGTCTCTCTCTGTCTGTCTGGCGAGCGCACGCGCCCTACAGTGAAAATCTCTCCAAAAAAAAAAAATCAGGAGAAGATAAATTGTTAGCTCAGGCAGATAATTCTTCTTGTTAGCTTGGGAATAAGATGGGGAGGCACTGAAGTCTTAAGTGAAGGCTGTGGAGGTGGAGGAGAGAAGGTAGGGAGTGATGGTAGTGGATATGATGCTTGTGGTAGGCGGTTAGTTAGCCATGAGCAGGCAGCCCTAAGAGAAAAGCGAAAGGCTCACCTAGCCCTGGGTGCCAGGAGGGCGAGGTAATTTGCCATATTCCTTCCTTAAGGCTTGAGGGAAGCATACAGGGATAATTCGTGGATTTTTCTTTCATCAAAAGGACCCAAGCAAGCATTTTGGTCATTAAGGCGATAGACTAATTGGGCAATCTAATTGGGGCAACCTGACTTGCACTGGGCGTACACATTTAGGTGATCAAATTCCTCACTTTACCTGTGAGGAAGGTGTGCAGGTGCAGGAGAAAACGAGTGGATTCAAATTTAAAGGAAGGACATAGGTAATGTACTGGGCCTCCCACTAATGAATATTCATGACCTCTAGTAATAAAAGAACGGTTAACTAGTACCAAGCGCAGTTGCCACTTGGCAATCGGCCCGCCCAACAACCTTTTTGGGTGTACTTTCTTTCCTTAACTTTCTTTCTATTAAACCTTCTTTCCTATCTACTTCATTCATGGCTGCAGTTTCATTTTGCACCTAGGGACAGATCTCTAATTTTAGTGATCTGGACCCAAAGAACCAAGGATTTCACAATGCAGCTC